CATTTAGGTAAACTGAAATCGCCAGCAACGTTATAACCCATTTTATCAAAACATTTAAACACAATACTTTGTATTTTCAACATTAATGATTTTTCTTTGAAAAAAAATATCAAAATCAGTCATTTCACATCAGGAATTACTGACAGAGTCCAGCTTTTACTCTCAAGTAGAAATAGTCTTAATGTTGAGGAGAGCCTAAAATAATATTAAATTAAAATTTATTTTCATTTGAATAAAATCTTCAATTTATTACATATAATACTATGATCATTTTTTAGTTTATTTTATCCTCATTTTGAAATTTCAAAAGAAATGACTATATATTTTTTGATAACAGTTTTATAATGATTACTTATAACAAACTTAACATCTATAATATATAAAAGAAATTTAAAAAAGCTTTAAACTATGTACATTAAAAGTATGTTTATAATATAAGGTGTGTTAAACATCCAAGCCTATCTCCTAATAAAATTTTCTAAATAGTTAAATTTGCTATGTTGGAGTATCATATTGCAATAAGTACCCACCTTGGTTGTTTGTTTTAAATATGGCCTTTATCCGTGCAAAGTATGTTTTACCACTGTCGTGTAGTACTTAACTTACGTACTTATTAAATAAATCATTCAGTTCTTGTCATTTAATTTAACAACGGTTTTTCTCTACTTTGTATTATAAAACACAATTTCAATGTTCTTATGTTGCATTTACACGTCTTTGTGGTCTTTCTATTTCCATATGCTTTCTGATTATACGGAACAATTAAGTTAATTTTAAAGTGGATCATATATTAATAAATCTTTTGATTCTTCTGTACAAATATATGTTAAATTTAAACATAAAAAATAATTTCTCTTGTTCACATACATCATAATACTTCTATTCCCAGTGAGGCCATTCACCACAGACGGGTTATAAAATATATTTTAGTTAGCAGAAACAAAGAGTGGTTGTAATTTATACTTTTTGCTTAGAATTTATATCTCTTTCCACAATATATGTATCCCTTACAAACATAATTATTTCATTTAGTATAGATTATGAAGAATTATGAGGATTATGAATATTTTACGCTGAATGACGATGAGAGAGTTAGGTAAGTTCGGATTGAGATCAAAAATAATATTTCACGAAATAGTCAGTAAATATAATTAGTTCTGGCCAACTTGTTCCTGTATACAAATCTGTCTTATAATTTAATAATCTATACGAATAAGGGATAAGATGCTGAAGAGAAGTAACAGAAAAGTTGACTAAAGGCTTACTCACTTACGTTTTAAAAGAATTAAGCAATTAATGTGTGTTTCTTAAAAAAACATCCAAGTTCAACCGATTTGGGTTAAATAACAAAGTAAAAAATTAAAATGTAGAGAAATATTTTTTCTAAATCACCTTAAGTAAAATATAACCCATGTATAATATTGACGTAATCCATGAATCCTAGCACTCAGAACCAGGAGATTGCGGGAAGCATCGGGAAGCATAGCGCATGTGCATGCGAAAACGGATTATAAATACCCATAACGTTAAAAGCATCTAAGTGTATTCCAAGAACGTGGTTATGAAATGTCACTCAATAAAATAATATCGTTTCGATGTTATAAACGTTCTGCTTTTAACATACATTTTATTTGTAAGTACATATATAAAATTATGATCAGCTCACGTGGTTGTTTTAAGAAATAATGTTCCTGAACTGAATTTAGGAAGGAAGAAAAATATAAACTTAATTATTAGAAATCTTTTCATATATTCATATAAGAGTAGTTAAAGAGAAAGTATATCAATTTATTTTAAAGTACGATAGATTTTTCAGAAAGACAAAATGTCCCAGAATAAAGAGCAAAATATCGTTAAAAAATCGAAAAAATAAAAAATCTTTTAAAAATATGAGGACATAATTACAAAATATTATTATTCCTATTTGTGAACAATTTAAAGGGTAAAATTAAAATAATTTTAGTAACAAAAACTTTATAAAATGTAACATCGTTTTCTTCATGATTGTAATAAAACATAAAGGTTTTTTATATGTAATATATAAAATCTCTATTATACGTAAAATATAAGAAGGAGAAAATAAAAAGTACTAAGATGTTTTCATGAAGGTCGTTCGACGTGTTTATGTGACTGTAATGATATATATTATATTAAAAAAAGCAGCTGATAACATGAATCGGATGTTTACGTTCAATGATGACTATAATGTATGTAGATACAAGTTACCAATACGCTAAGAAACGGTTAAATGTGTAACAAACGAGTTGTTTATATCACAATGACTTTGATAACCGAAATACCAGGTTGTAATATGTAACTATGATATCACCAGCTTATTAATGAACTAGATTTAACGGGCAGCTTCGCTTATATTGGTAAAGTTTAATGTTTTGAAGCATAACACATATATTTAGGAGGAATTTTAATTAAACTTTTGCTAGCCTTCATAATTTTGCATTTATAAACAGATAAACCTGTATTAAAGTGTTCTTTTCTACTGGTTATTTTATATACTTGTATAAATTTCATGTATTATAATAATAAAAATAATTATCTACATACTATATTTTTCATGAATCTTAAAAGAACGTGAAGTTACCTAATTGCACTTTATCCAAGGTTACGATCAAAATTGAACTTAAAAAAGATCCTAATTTCAATAGAGAAGATTCTTAAAAATTATGTACCACCTGAGATCCCTTCATCATAAATCCTATATATGACACAACCCTGCCAGACCTTAAGACACTGTTAGCGCATTCTGTGTGCATTAGGAATAGTAAACGAGAAAGTGAAAAAGAAATAGTTTACTCTAAATGACAGGACTATCTGAGAGACGATTGTGTACGCTGATCTAGTGTGCCAGTGATTATTGTTTTCTTTTATGACCAAGATGGTAAAACAAGCACACTTCGCATCTTTTGAAGGTAGCACCGACGCCCATGAACATCAGCAACATACATAGTTTTGCGGATATGTTGCCGCCATTGTTTTGAGGAGAGGAGAGGAATGGATGGGGAAAGGGCTAGAGCTGCAGTAATTTGACTACAGCTAGGCTTCTACCACATATAAGGATATTTACATCATTTTGGATTCTTTGACGTAACCAAAACGAAAATAAATCTTTTTGTATCAACTAAAACCTTAATTTTATATGAATATATTCAAGAAACAGAAGTTACAATTACATTATATTTGTAGAGATACAATTATTTATATTGAAGGATTCTTTTCGCTTTTTACCAAGTGATCGTTTTTCAATATAAATATTCAGAGAATATAATTTACTTTTAATTATAATTTCTTTTAGATTCTTATAATGTAAACGGGCCATTAAATACCTGTAAGGAATAATTTTAAATGAATGTTTTAAAATTTTCGCTGATTAAAGAATTAAGTCAACGGTTTTGATACATTTCTGTTACATTCTTTATACCTTGAAAATATAAGATCAGTATTGACGTCGCCATAAAGTAAAATATAACATTAATGACAAGTTTTAAAGACGTGAAACAGCAATAATTGATGCGGGTGATGTGTTTGTAAGTAATATAAATTTTCTCAGTGTTTTTAATTTCAGTAAAGTATCAATTTACCAGTACCTTGAATACAGGAAGTGATTTTTTTATATATAAAATATATAAAAACTATTTTCATATATAAAGAACATATTAAGATTTTAATGTTTATATTCAAACGTGTTATATTTTGATTGTTATGTCATTTCTCCTCAGTTCTATTAATTAAGAAGATTCCAGTATCAAACAGTTCAATATGTCTGTTTCTTTATAAGATAAATAAAAGAAGTTTGCTAATAACCATCAAACTTTTTGAATATTATTTTCCTTATTAATTCCTTATATATTAATTCCTTTCAAAATGAAAAATATACGAGTATGCTCATTTTTGCTTCGGTTATTTAGTGGATTTTTGATGCTAAGATACAGCCACTTGGCAGTTATGGAGTCTCTATATCATATTGACGTATAGATACCTCTCTATATCAAATTGACGTATAGATTGGAGCTTCATGGTAAACTTTAAAATGTTCGTATTCAAAACACGTTACAATAGAATGCATTCAATAACATTGTATTGTATTGATATTATAAAATATCGACATTTGTTAGTATATCGATATTTTATTTTTTTTTTAATTTTATTTACTTTATTATACAATTATTCTCAAGTAGCTACCATAGTATTTAATTTATTATATTTTAAATAAATTAAACCATGTATTGTTACACTAAAAGAACGGTAGACAACGTTAAGTTCGATTGCTTCGCCATTATCAAGCTAGTTTTCTGGTACTTATTTGTGTTGGAGAATTTTTTTTACATGAAATGCACTTGTGGAGTATCTAAACTAATACTTCGAGTATGTATCTTCTACTATTAGTGGTAATAGTCATCAGGCAAAAAGTAAGTTAGTAGTAATAAAGTACGTGGAGATCATTTACACATTATCCCGCCAGAACTATTAAGATACCATACGGAATATAAGTAATGTTTAAGTTGGTCTTATTATTAAGCAAAAGTAATGTGTATGCTATGTAAGTAAATGAGGGTATTTTAAAGCTTCTTTAAAGTTTTTAGGAAATTCTGTGTCTAGTTGCGAGACTGACCAAATTTTGCTAATAACGTTCCATAAACTGTTAAGAACAAATAAAAGACCTTAAAAAAGAAATTATAAGTTTATAAGTAATGCTATGAATTTAAAATATAAAATACTTTTTAAGTTGAGTCGAACTTTCAGTTTAATTCAATATTTAATATAAATCGAAGACAGTGACGAGTGCCGAGTCTCTATAATCATTAAACTTATTGCTTATAATATTTTTAAACTGAGAAGCTATTAAGGTTTAATCATTCTATTTATTCATATTATCAGGATTTTATTCTCTATGTGCTACACGAATTTTAATTGATGATAAGAGATAGTAGCTTGAGTTGAAGTTAAACAAGTCAATTTAAAATGGATTTTCATCAGGAGGCGTTTTATAGCAATTCATTCAATTTATCTGTAGCAAATCTTTCATCAGATTTCCTCGCAATCATAACAGACCAGTCCGATGACACCAGCGACCAACACGACGGCTCCTTCAGGATGTCTAACACCACAATATAACCATACAAACACATTATATGTTCACAATATTGATATTTATTTATTAACCCTTCTACTCTGATACCGTAAAAGGTTTTGATTTATCATATATGTTTTTCCTACATATAGATGTTACCTCTCCGTAGAGCCGTATCGTTGGTACATAAATATGTCATGAGAGCCCGGGCTCCACCGATCTTCTGTTGAATGATCTCCTGTCCATCCGTCGGTAGACATCTCTTGATCCACGTGTCCATACATGACATACCCGTCTGATATGCACTGGATAAACAAAAAATATATATCTTGAATTAGATACTTCATTAAATATTAAATACATTTTTTTATAATAGACAATACACATTTCAGAGAGTTTTCGTCTTATAACTTCACGTCATTCGTCATCAGAAATACGGATTGGATTGAAAGTTAAAGAGTTTGCTTTATTTTATTGTGTTCATACATTCGTAACCTTAACATCGTTTACTATAAAAACAATCCGACCGATCACAAGACGATTCGTAACAATTAACCGTCTTTCCTATATAATATCTACTCACAGACAATGTTTATCCAGTTCTTCCCTGGTCCGTGGCAGACCAACTGCAGTACGAGGTATTCCGTCTACACACACCTTCAACTCCTGAGGGTCACAGCTGTCTTCACTTGTATGGGCTCCACCTCCATCTACAATAGAATAAGATTTATTAAATACCATACCGATAACTACATATTTATAAAAGGTATTGTACCTAACAGTATTTGTGGTCTCATTAAGAAAAATTCTAAAGTAGAGTTTATATAGAAATAAGAGTTTATCTATTTTTAGTTTGATTTTTATTTCAACATCAGTAGTACCAGTTTGCATCCTCAAACTAAACGGTAAGATTTACAATGTTAAGTCATAATTTGTGGCATCCATTCTCGTAATCTTTGACAATTTTTTATTTAAACGATGATACAAACTCGTACTAGAGTGGACTTATAAATCGTACAGATATTAATGCACCTGCATATCCGAACTGGCGATAGTATGTTGTTTTTTTTCTTTTATAGTAGTAGTAATTAGTTTTGCATCTGTAAATGTTAGTAATAAGTAGAGAACTTCTACTACAATTCACTTTCATTATGACTACACCATGTTAAAATTTTTTTTCAAGTAAATAACAAAAGAATTTGGTAGAAGTAAAATGAAGTTATTATAATGCTGGAATATCCCAAGCGGTTCTTTTATAAAATACAGGAATTCCTTTACAAGCAACAAACTTAACAATCATACCGCACTATCAAATAAAATTCCCTTTAACAACTTTAAATTTATATTTTTAATGATGAAATATTTCAAACATTCACTATTAAAGCTATGAAAACTAAGGCACAAAATTAAACTTATTTATAACCCAGGGGAAATTTTCATATATTTTAACAAATTAAAACGAAACTTCAAGATAGAAATGATAAACGAATGGAAACGAAAATTTTAATTTTTTTATTGTGTGTTTTCATTATTTACTTATATGTATTTTATTTTAATAAATATTTTTACTTTTTATTTTAGGTCATCAAATTAATACAATTATTACACTCATAAATATGAATAATATGTTTGAACTGAAACTAAACATTTTATTTATATAATATAAACAATAAAGGTTTTGAAAGTTCAGACAGGTTGTTCGGAAGTTTGTTTGTGAATACTGTTATACAATAAAAGAGGAATCCATTACCAGAGGAAGAAAAGTTTGAGATTCGACTAATAGCGAAGATTCAAACTACGGATATTCCTGACAGTTGAAATTTATGATAAAAACTGAAAACAAAGAATTCGTTGCATTCAAAATAATTTAATTTTTATGATAACGTCCTAATTAGAATATATTAAATAAGAAAACTTTGAAATTTATTCAAATATATTAAAATGATAGACTTATAAATCTCGGAACAGTCATTGACTTATCATCTCTTAATGAGCATGCAATGTTGCTGTGAGGTGAATAAAATATAATCATATTAAAAAGGTTCGAATTCATATTATTTTGAATTAAAGAGTGTCTTAAATGTGAAAACTAAATTAAAAATATGTATTTTTATGACAAGGTTCCTCCAACAAACATGTAATTATCAACTTATTGCCTATTTTAATATTTGTTGCTCTAAAATATGTTCAAATAATCTCTTTAGTTCGTTCCTAAATCATGTTCTTTATTTTTAGAAATGCATAAATATAATTATGTTTTCTATTAAATTGACAGTTAACGTTAGCAAGCCTTTATAGACTCTTCAAAATTCTTAGTGTAGTGTTTTTTTTAATAATTTTCGCTAATTCAGTTTATATTATTGGACGATAAAATTATATTATTGGACGATAATATAATTATAGTATTATTGGACGATAAAGAGAGGATTAGTTCAAACCACCTTTACATATATTTCATAATTTATTATTCTTTTTGAACTATCAATTTTGAAATGTTATACTGGAATATTTAATGCCGCTTTCATATATGAAATAATGTCCTGAATTAAAGTCCTGTTACCATAAAAGCCCCTAAATATTAAGTTTATAAATTTAACTTTCATAGATTCTTTTATTATTCATATGACAAGATTTACTTTATTAAATATTATATCCCTTTTTTGTATTATATGATAAATATGTATTTGGAAGTTTATGGTACTTTAAGAAAACTCGTTTATTCCTAATAAATATAAAAAGGATCCTTATATAACCTATGTACAGATTTGTGCAACTATATTAAAACTTTGTCAGTTAGCCCTGCTGCTTCGACAGCGTCACCGGAGGTGGGGGGTTGATGTACATACATACATACATACATACAATACATACATCCTACTTATTATCCGAACCTTATACTTCCTTTACAACTCACCTTATTCATTATGTGCTTAATAACTATTTTTTTCATAAATGAAACTAAAATTATTATTTAAAATTACGTATAGTTTAAATTTAATCTCACATTTTTACAATGCTATTTAATGATTTATAATTTATTTTAAATGATTATGAATGCAGATATTTATATTAACAAACTTAGTTTTAGACTAGATTTAGTTTGTGACTTCCAGCTGCTTCTATACTGTTCTTAAAATAAACATTTATTTTAGTGATAAGTTAAAATGTTACATTATAAACTATTTTTATATTTCTTTTTTTTTACTTTGTTTTTTTTTAAGAGGCATATTAATGTCTAAATTATATAAATAAAACATTGTTAAATCGTACTCCCTTTTACTAAAATTGTGTGACCGAATATTTAAAACATATATGTGAAATGTTTTTTGTTAAGAAAAAGGTAAGAAAATTGTGGTTCCCTAATGCAAGAAATATTATGTCATACTCAAAATCGTTAAAATTTACAGATATCAGTTTATTTTATTTACAATAATAACAAACAATATACGTTTGCAGGTGAAAAGAAAACTTGAAAGAGTCTTAAGTGCTGTTATAAATCAACGCTTTCTTATACCAGAGCTGCAAAAATGAGAGGTAATTAAAAAACTCTCTTTGGAAATTGTGTATAATATTTCCCCTTAAAAGAGAAAAATTATCATATTTTAAAAATACTTAAAGATTAAAGACCATAATAGCATGTACAGATGTAGAAGAACAAGGTATCATTTGTTCATTAAAGGAAATTATAAACTCATTAACTCGCATCATATAAACTTATTTTCGAGTTTACGTTGAGAAAGTTGAGGTGAAATTGTTAAATTTTCACTTAAATGAAATATTTTTTTCTATTATATGTAACTAAAACAAAAATATTATGAATAAATAAGTTACGAAACTTTGTAATTCATATATTTCCATTTCGCACATAAAGTAACTTTGTTTGTTTTAATGATAATAAAGTCATCGTTATGTGGAGAGCTTTCAAACTATGTTAATAATTTAACTCAAACTGCGGCGTATCGTACAACGGTAATAAACATAGTTACAGTTTGAAGTGCTCTCAGATATGTTGAGAACACATTTAACAATTACACTGGTCAACAAAAAAATAAAAGTTGTTTGTTTCCTTTAATGTTTTTCTTGTTTCTATCTTAAATTGACGTATATTTTTTAAATTTCGAAACAGTTTTCCTGTAACAGCTTTTGTTTTTGAGTTACAGCTAACTACCCTCATTTACTACTTTCATCTACATATGCATTTTTTATTCGACACTGCAACATATTTTGTTGCTGTTTTCGATATGGCTTTGTCAAGAAGATGTTGTGTGCTTAATCCCGACTCTTTTTGCTATATTTGTAGTGAATATGTATTTGCAAAGTATCGAAAACCTATGTCGAACTTGTGAAAAATGTGTATCAACAATACTTTAAAATAAAATTGTTTAATCAGAACAAGCCGTGGATTCCTCATATTGTATGTCAAAAATGTGTTGTATGGCTATAATTGTGGTCCAATGGAAACAGAGATGCAGTAATATTCGAAACACAGGTGGTCAGGTGCGAGAACCTGAAAACGATCATGACGACTGCTACTTTTGCGTTGTGAAAGTCAAAGGAATTAATCCTGGCAATCGAAATAGGTGGCCACATCCTAAATTATCTTCTGCCCAACGACCCCAATTAAAATTATGAGAGGTACAACCTGGCAAATCTAAATCTTCTGATTACCCGAATCCCTGTGAACCCGAACGAAATTCATCAAGTGAAGATTCTTATTCAGTCTACAAATCTAGCCAAGAACCTCAAGAACAGATCACACAACTCGTGAAAGATTCTGATTTTGTCAAATCAATGACTAAAGTGGAATCGAAACCTTAGAATTCATTTTTTTGGTTATTAGTAATTTCTTAGGCAAAGATAAATCTGACGACTACGTGGAGCTTGTTGAGGCCATGCTATCGAATTTGGAACAACTAGGGTGCAACATTAGCATAAAAATCCACTTCCTGCGCTCGCATTTAGACCGATTTCCAAAAAATCTGGATGATTACACTCAAGAGCAGGGTGAAAGATTCCTCCAGGGTCCAGGACGTTGGAAGAGCGTTATCAGGGGCGGTGGGACTCACATATGATGGAAAAATACTGCTGGAGTTTGCAACGAAATCTATCTGAAGTCGTTCAGTCAAAAAATTCCTATAAAAGATCATTTCATTGTATTTTATAAAACATTTTGTATTAATTTTCTGAATTTTTGGTCAAAATAAAAAAATATTATATTTCAAAAACTAAAGCTGTTAGAATTTTTTTAGTATTTTTTTCATATTCAGGGACATAGAAATAACTAATAACAGTGAAAAAAATAAAGGAAACAAAATATGTGTTGGGCAGTGTTATTTGTTCGTTACACTATATTTATATGTATAAAAAAAGACCTAATAGATAATGTGTTTTGTGTGTGATTTGAATATTATGAGAAATTGAAATAAAATAAGGATTTGAAATAAACCCAACAATCTAAATGCACAATAATATCATTTATTGATTTTTTTTTATTTAATAATAATATGTCAACATTATTACATATACTAGAATCATCAAATACCTATATACCTGATAGATATAGTAAATTTCATTTTGCTTTTTAATGTTACATTTTTCATTGTTTTGCTAAAATGTATAATCTACATTTTATACTTTTATAAATGTCTGTTGCTATTATAAAAAGAAATCAACAAGTTGAAAGCAAATTACGACAGTGATAGACCTTTTTATTGAAAGAAAATTGTATTGATATTTTTAAA